AACACCGATAGATACAAGTCAACATCTATCTAAAAATAAAAGTGAGAGTGTCTCTCAAGTAGAATACTTGAGAGTTATTGGAAGTCTAATGTACTTGATGAATTGTACAAGACCAGACATAGCCTACACAGTCAGTAAACTGAGTAGATACACAAGTAATACAAGAGCTGATTACTGGAAAGGCATAGTAAGAGTACTAAGGTACTTAAGATGTACTCGTGACTATGGATTACATTATACCAAATATCCAGCGGTCATTGAAGAATACAGTGATACTAATTGGATATCTAATATAAAAGACTCAAAGTCCATCAATTGATTTGTGTTCACATTGGGAGGTGCTGCCATATCGTGGAAGTCCTCTAAGCAAACAGTTATAGCCAGATCTACGATGGAATCTGAGTTTATAGTTCTAGATAAATGTGGTGAAGAGGCTGAATGGTTGCGCTAGAAGATATTTTAAGATGTTCAAAACCTGTGCCAGTGATTTGCATTTATTGTGACAATCAATCAGCAATAGGAAGGGCACAGAGTAACATGTACAATGGTAAGTCTCAGCTACTCTTAACTGGAGTGATCACTATTCACTATGTAAGGTCAAAAGATAACATTGCGAATCCGCTAACCAAAGGGTTAAACAGAGAGTTAGTTGGAAAATCATCAAAAGGAATGAGACTTAAGCCCTTGAATGAATAAGTCATTACAAAAAGAAACCCAACCTAGTTGACTAGTGATCCCAAGATCTAGGTTCAAAGGGACAACCTAATTGTAAAGGCTTAATAAGATCATTGTGGGTGCGTTTCCTTCTGTCCATTCCTATGATGTAATAGTGATGTCCGTAAGGATCAAAGATAAGCAACATGCTATTAATGATTCTTATGTGTTAAAGTTCGAGCCAAGTAATGTGGGTTACTTGTAATAAGAAATCACCTATGTGAAAGAGAAGTGAGACCGTTTCTAAGAGAATTGTGCGGGGCTCAATTCTTAAGAACTCTCACAGAATCAGGCATATGTTCATGGCCAAAACGAACATAATAATAAGAATTGAATTGTGTTAGAAAGAATCCCATGTGGAGTATATCATCATTTACATAAATGGCAGAATAGTTCAAGGACAACACGTCTACTGGTCAGCTAGTTAAGTAAATATGCTTTCACAAGGGAAGGTTCAAAGAGTAATACCTACTTATCCTATGCAGGCTTCAATCATTGAACTTTATCATCACGTCTTGTGTCTCACGGTCTAGTGTCTCTCCCAATTTCATTCATATGGGGGATTGTTGGAAAAAATGAGTAAATGACCCACTTTTGGCAATATTTTTGGTGGGACCCGTTGGTCCAATTTGGAAGATCAAAGTTGATCCGTGTTCTCCTCCGTGAGAGTACCAAAATCATATATTTACTTGCCAAAAATGAAGTTCGAGTGAATGAGAAATTGGAGCTCAAAGATGACCATTGCAAGATGGTTTAAGTGGGAAAATTGCATTAGTCCCACATAGGAAAAATATGAAAGCAATGACCACTTTAAATATGGCTACACATTGGAGAGGTGTAATCATGTGTAGCATAGAGGCTCTCTCTACGTGCGCGTGTGGGGATGCAAATTACGTACCGAAATTGTCTTCGAACCTTGAACTTGTGTGCAAATGCAAATTGTGTACACGAATGTCAGACCGAACGGAACAAAAATTGGTTCGTTTGGAGTGTCCACATTTTGCAATTTTTTCGCTTTTCCCAACTGACCTTTGAGTTTTCGAAAACTGTTAAAACTCCAACAGAAACTGAAGTAGCTCTAATGTTTATTGCCAGAGTTAATGGCAGATGGCAAATTTATTTTATATATTAAATCTCATAATTTTTCATGCAATTCCAGTATACTCGAAAATACAGAAAAAAACTGTGTCTACACACACAAAAATATAGTCTGCATACTGCATAATTTTTCTGTCTATATATGTAATCTCAGTTTTTGTCCAAAGTTGTGGTGGTGATATTGTTAGAATACAAAGTCAGTTCGTCGGAGTAGTTTCTGCAGTGCTCAGATTCTACGACTTTTACCGTTGTATCCTCAGAAACAGACGCTCGGATTAGACCTCAAGCACTTACGATGATGGGGCGAATCTATTTTAAGGAAATTGTGTTCGCACAGGCCTCGGGTTGAAGATTTATTTATTTTTTGCAATTCACATATTTATTTATTTAGCGATTTACATATTTGTAGTTTAATCTTATACTTCGTAGGTTTTTCAGTTTATTTTATTATATGTGCTTCATATAATTTTACAATTTATTATCTGTATGTCCGAAAAAAAAATTTGAAGAAAATTAATTAATTTGATAGCATTCGGTTTGGTAGTTGTCCAATCGATATTTATTTAGATAATATATGTAAATACGGTATTTTTACATTTTGGTGTATGTAAGTGCATATACGGTATGCTAAGCTGTTGCATATACGGTATGTGTTGTAAATACGGTATGCAGCATATACGGTAAGCTGTAAATATAGTATGTTACATATACGGTATGTATAAATCCAACATATAAAGTTAATATTCGGTATGAATGAATCCGATTTTATCGACTACACTAAAATCCAACATTATAGAGTTGAATCAAAATAATCAAAACGAACTTGGCGGGTAAATACTAATTATTGAAAAATGCCAGGCTCATATCAATTCGAAATTTTTTGTTTTTGATAAAATTTGAATGTTCACGTTTTGACAATTTTTTATTGCTTTGTGTTAGATTACTTTGCAATGTTAATTATTTGATTATTGCATTAAATAATGACTAGTATCAAGAATAGTTTAATTGCTTTGAACCTTATATTGCATACTTTAATTATTTTGAACATTGATTATATTAACGTAGGAGTATATTAGAAAAAAGATAATAAAATTTATTGTTTCAACTCTATTAATTAAATTTTCTTAATTTGTGTGAAAAAAGAAACATAACTATATTTATGGGACAACGATTATACTAAATAACATTTCTCTTTTGCTAACGATTTACTCATGACAGTGTATGGAAATTGTGAGAAATGTCTAAATTTGATATTTTGTCTTGAAAAATGGCCAAAAAAATGAATGTTTTGCATCCACGGCTTCTTCTTTTCTTTTCCCTTTTTTTCCCCAAAGGCAACGTAGTTTTAATGTTTTGTCCTAATGTGCATGAGTCAATACGAATGGACGAGAGTGGAATCAAGTGGGCCAGTCCCGATATTTCAATACCTGGAACCACTGATTATATTTCGGATATTTCATAAATAATACTATTCGAGTCCTTATAATTTTGGAACCAAACCTAGAACCAAATCGTCGATTCCACTTCAGGTTTGATTCTACCCATGACTTTTCTTTTATATATATATATATATATATATATATAATAAACATTTTCTATAAGCCCTTTCTATACATATACCAAATACACTACTACTCAACAAGCAAAAGAGAAAATCCAACTAAGAAATTTTCAAAAAGTTAAGAAATCTAGTTACATGACTCAAAATAGTGATAAGAAAATTAAAATATCAAAATCAAATTACAGTTTGAGAAGAAACAATTTAAAAAAAAAAAAAAAAAAAAATCTTGTTCTATCCATAACCTAACCTAAACCCCAAATCCAACCCCAAAAATTTAAGCTTAAATTATAATGAAAGGAATAGTAATTTTTTGAAGAATGTGATTAAAAAGAAATGAAAAGTTTTTATGTTTATGTGTCATATTATTTTATTGACAAATGTATGGTTGATAAGAAGAGGGAAAAATGAATTTTAATTTAATGAGAGCCTAAAAGGGGCTAAATGACAATTTGACTATGGTTCAATTCGATTTTGATTTGAAATGTTCAACTTCGATTAAAATGTCCAGTCTAGCCCAATGCCGCCCCCAACTCCAAAACCTATAACCCTTCTTGTCGTGGCTAAAGAATTTTTTTTTCGTCCAATTTCAATTTGGATGAACGACATCTTTCCATAAGTCAGGATTCCTAACATAAAAATTGTGGGCCACTTATCACAAAGGATTTGCAACCTGCTGGAAAGCTGCTTCTCTTGCTTATGGCACATAAAAAATCTATTGAATATAACTGATAGTTGGTCCGTTGGGTGCGAAAATTGCCATAAAAAATTTTCGAGGCAGGAAATTTCTGTAATCGGAGGAATTTAATGGAGTAAAAAACATATGATTTATTTCTAGTTATTTTATTTGTTTAGTCAAAATTGAAGGTGTATTGCATGTCATTCTGAAATATTTTATAAATACTGTAAAAATAATACTTGATACCAATTTGTTGAAAGGATTTGATGAGTCTAGAATGAACTAAAGAAAGTAAAATTTAGGAAATTTAACAGAAGAACATTGTACTCTCAAAATTCAAATTTTTTGTGATGATGAAAATTTATAAATGAGCAATCTTTTTATGCTACATTTGGTACATAAGAATTAATTGCTAATACATGAATTCAAACATCCATTAAAATTTCTAGATATATGAATAGAAATAAATTCATCTATAATAACTCTAGATTCGTGTGGATCAAAATTCATCAAGTCAAGACTAATAAAGTCTAGATTAATGTGAATGTTAATTATTAAGGATTAATAACACCAAATTCATACATGACAATGATTTTGTAGTATTTATTACATATTAAAAAAAAAAAGGTATTGTTGAAATAATTAAATTACAATAGGGTTAAAATAGTTCAAAAAATAATTTTCACTTGATATGATAATTAATAAATTATAGATTATAGATATGTCTGATCAATGCGATACCGATTGAGCCAATGACCCTTAGCCTTAGTCTGGTCAATATGGGTGAAAATCTTAAAGTTATTGATGTATAAAAAAATAAATACTTCTCTCTTTTTCTTCATATTGATGGTTTAAGTTGATTTTCTTGAAACAGTCAAATTCTTCCAGCAATAGTAGACAAGGATTCAAATTGATTAAAGCAAAATTAAGAAAAATGACAAACGCCAAACATATACAAGGTAACAAGAAACACTTTTACTTATATTTAAATTACATTTAGTCAAACTCCTCAAATCCCAACACAAATACAAAGATTGTGTTTATTCTTTAACAGAACGAAACCATACTTAATTAAGAATTTATCAACACCTTAACAAAGATTATTGAGAAAACATTTAAGAAGCTTTTAATTAATTCACCTTCTTGCAATCCAATCGAATCTGTCCTCTCTTCCCCGTCAATGGTTTTATGTTACCCATTTTAATCATTGAAGAAGCAAAATCTATGGAAAAAGCAACAAAATTTTTACTGTAAGTCTTGACAAGATAATCGGTTTGACCTCCATTGTATAATGCTTGATCAGAGTGGAGGAGCCCTTTCTTTGACACCAAATTGCTGAAGTAGTTTGTGTCGAAAGAAGCAGGGGAGGGATCTAGAGGAGCAAGTTTAGAGTCACCTCCATTGGGGGGACAAGTAGCTCGACCTTGATGAGCAAAGTTGGGATCAATGTTGGTTTCGTTGTAAATACGGTTTTTAAAGAGACGACATTGAGACAACCCTAGGGTGTGGCCACCGGAGAGGGCTACGAGGTCTTTCACGTTCAGGCCCTGTTTCTTGAATGAGTTGATAAGTTCTGGTAAATCCATGAATGGTGAAGGGATGTCACCGTTGGCTTTAGATTCGCTAGCCGTCGTTGAGTCTCTCCTCCCGAGTTGCACCTCCCAACTCGGTCCCCCTAACTGCACCCAAAGAAACAATTTTCCTAGTTAAATATAATTCCGGTAACATTCTTAAAATTTATAAATCAATAAGGTAGAATAATAGTGGATCTCACAAATGTGATGATAATAATGAGAAATAGTCATGAATGTACGGATATCGAACATGTTAAATAATACGTACTGCAACTACGGAATCACGTGCTGCAACCGCCAAAATGTCAGCACAAGACACTACCGGCCAGCCGCAAACCTTATCAACCTCGTACTTGATTCTATCAATTACTTCAAATCCCCTAGCAGAATTGGCATTGGGCAATGCATTCTTTTCACTAGTGAAAGCAGACGTCGAGTCTAGAAGAATAGANATTCCAAGGGGAAAAAATTATTGTAATTTTAACCTTGAAAACAAAATATGAGTGTTTTTCTTTATATTCAACGGGCAAACTTTGGGATAATGTATTATTAAACATCGTATTAGAGTATACGCCAAGATCCTGCTTTGAATTCTTACTGTTGTGTCCGTATATTTCACCTGCTAAATATTTGCCAAGATACTAAATTGAGTTTGACTATGAAGAAAATGTTGAATATTAAGAATAGACAAATGAAACTTAATCCATCTATATTTTTTAATTTCAGCTCTTACATGATAACAACTATTTTTACATAAATAGCATCAATAATTTTATTATTATTATTATTACTTTTTATAAACTTCAATATTAAACACAATGTTCCGCAATTGGTACTTTTCAACGTATTACACTCCTTTACATCAACCAAAAAAATTGAAGAAAAATATAAAAAGAAAATGTTAATTGTCTACGCCAACAACAATCATATATCTCATGATTCTTTAAAAAAAAAATAAAAAATCCTTATTTTAGAATTTATGACCAAAGAAAGAAGTACTATATATTTGAAGAAATCTATATGAATGGGAGTTTTCGTCTTACTATATTAACCAAATGCAAAGACTATTGAGGCATTTCGGCGTAAGGCTAATTCAAATGGACATGGTCAATAGAATTCCCATGAAAGGAACCAGTTTATTGATAAACACTTTATATTACCTAATCAGTTTACTTCAACTCCAAGAAAAGACTTTTATATATTTCATTCATACCAGTTTTTCAATGCGAAAACCAACAAACTAATTAATTGTTGGACTAATGTCATTATATAATTACTCTCCGCAAATTAAATTGTATTAATACAGCTGGTCACTAATTAAAATTAGGAGTTGAGGTCAGAGAAGTAGTCTATTACTTTTATCTTTGAATTACTAATCATTAAGGAAGCGAAAATGTCGTCTTATAATAATATAGGTTCAATTACGAGGTTAAGAATGTTAGATTATTTTTTTAGTCAGTCAAATTTACAAATAATTACAATGCATGTAGGTTGTAATTATCTTTGAATATAGTATAACGTTTACATATATATTATATTTTACGCAATGGTTACAAAAGCCTCCATTTGTTGCAGAATTCACAAACATGCAATTATAAATAGCTAAACAAACTAAAATATCCTTAATTAAAATAACAAATTACACGATATATATTACCTTAATCACGATTCCCATACCAATTTCTAAATATTGATTTTTCATTTAATATTTTCTTTCCTGAAAATATAAATTTCTTGTGAGATTTATAAAATGTATTATTTTTCTTTTCTTAAGCTCTGATATCAAACCAATAAAAATCAGTTTTAGTAAGTTAATAATTGAAATATATAGAAAATATTTTATGTCACTCTTCCATCATAGTGAAATGAAATTAAAATTATTAAATTTCTATCTTCTAATTGCTATTTCTTTTTCCAAATGAATAGATTAAAAAAAGTCTGTTAAAATGATTTTTAATATTAGTTGTATTTTTTTATAGATAGAAATTAATTTCTTATTCATTTTAAGTTGGGTAATTTTGCAACTTAAAAAATGTCAAGTATGCATTTGTAATTTGTTGACATCTATTGTGGATGATTTTATTATTTTATTTGTTGCGAGGAAGCTTCATAAAAGAGAAGATTAATATATTAATATAATTAATAAATATATATATTTTTTTGTAAAAATTGAAAATTAAAAAAAAGATACATGTAGAAAAAGGTGATAAAAGAAGAGGTAAAGGAAATTATTCTATATTTTACTGTGTTTCCTTGATGATTCTGTAAATGGGGATTATAAGCATATATATAGAATAGAGATACTACAACACAAGGAAAGATAAATTTTCTGCTCCAATAATGTAATCTTTTGGGGCTTGGCTGGTGCAATTTCTGCTGGAATAATTTGCTGGATTGGTGCAATTCTTTGCTGGAATAATGTAATCTGTTGGGGCTTGACTGGTGCAATTTTCTACTGGAATAATGTGCTGGAAATGGCAGTGAACTGTGAAGCTTAACCGGTGCAACTGTGAAGCTTAACTAGTGCAATCTCTCTGCTGGAATAATGTAATCTGTTTACCGGCTAATACTCTCCCTCAAGTTGGAGTATGGAGATCCGTAATACCTAACTTGGAACGGAAGAATGTGCACAATTCTCGGCCTAAAGGTTTGGTAAAAAGATTAGCCTGTTGTTGAGACGTGGGCAAAAAGGTGGGTGTGATGATGCCAGCTTGGAAGAGGTCACGAACCAGATGACAATCTATCTCAATGTATTTGGTTCGTTTGTGGAAAACAGGATTGCGTGCAATGTGAATTGCAGCCTGATTGTCACAGTGAAGGAGTGCTGGATGTCGATGAGAGATGGTGAGATCACGAAGAAGAGTGCATAGCCATGTGAGTTCACAAGAAGTGTTGGCCATTGCACGGTACTCGACTTCTGCGGAGGAGCGGGACACAGTTGTTTGCTTCTTTGTACGCAAAGAAATAGGACTATCACCAATCCTAATGTCAAAACCAATGGTGGACCGCCGAGTCATAGGGCAACTAGACCCGTCTGAGTCACAGTAAGCAAATAATTGAAAGCTGCATGTGGAGGGAAAAATAAGCCATATCTAGGAGTGGCTTTCAGATATCGAAGTAGGCGTCGTGCTGCTTGTTGACGAGGTTCTCGAGGAGTTTGCATGAATTGGCTCAAAAGATTGACGGAGAATGCAATGTTGGGCCGTGAAATTGTCAAATAGATAAAGCAGCCAATTAAGTGACGGTAGGGGGCCGGATCAGAAAGAAGATTGCCATTCGAGTTATTCAGCTTGAGGGTTTGCTCCATAGGGAAATAAGCAGGGCGAGAGTCAAGCTGGCCAGCATTAGAGAGAATATCCAAAATGTATTTTCATTGATTGAATAAAATTCCAGTAGGAGAGCGGGCCACTTCAATACCAAGAAAGTATTTCATGTTACCTAGATCTTTGATTTTGAAAGCATCAGCCAAGTGAGACTTCAGAGCAGTTATAGTGGGAAGGTCATTCCCGATAACCAATATGTCATCTACATAAATAAGGACTGCTGTGAACACTGTGCCCTTAGTTTGGGTGAAGAGGCTATGATCAACATGAGATTGGTGAAAGTTGGCCAAAGTGAGAATTGGAGACAATTTGAAGTACCACTGTCAAGAGGCTTGTTTCAAACCATATAGGGACTTGTGTAATCGACAGACACACATCTCCTCCTTAGGATAATAACCAGGTGGTGGTTGCATATATACTTCTTTTTCGAGGTCACAGTGAAGAAATGCATTGTTGACGTCCATTTGGTGTAAAAACCAATTTTTAGCTGCAACTATAGCAAGAAGACAACGAAGAGTAACAAGTTTAGCAACTGGAGCAAAAGTGTCATGATAGTCCAAACATTCTCCTTAATTGTAACCATTGGCAACCAAAGGAGCTTTATGGCGAGCGATGGATCCATCTGCATGGAGTTTGGTTTTGTAAACCCACTTGTACCCAATAGCTTTCTTTCCAAGAGGGAGAGAGACAAGGGTACAAGTGTGGTTATTTTCTAAAGCTTTGATTTCTTCAGCCATAATAACCTACCAATGAGGAAAAAGAATAGCTTGAGAGTAAAGATGAGGATCATGAACATGTTTGGAAATAGAGGTGAGAAAAGCAAAGTGCTTGGGACTAAAGAAACAATAAGAAAGAAAGTTGAGTAAAGAGTGAACCGTACCTGAGAAAGTCTGTGGAAGGCGTGAAGAACTTGGAAGATCGGAGCAGACGTAATCCTGTAGGTACGTTGGGCGAGTCGTCTTTCATTGTGGGCGAGTAGAGATAGTGGGGGACGAGGTTGTTATGATGATATCACTAGGAAAGGAATCAGGTAGATTGTCCTGAGGAGGATCGGTGGGAGGATGGTGCTCCACTTCAGGTAGATGGGGAACAAGAGGAAGGATGGTGCTTTGATACCATGTTAAGATTTGGGGTCCATCTTCATAAGGTCAATCTTTTTAAGAAAAGTAGCCCAAAATATTTTTAAGTTGGTCAATATTTCGATATTTAACCAATGTGAAATTTTTATCCCTTAACATGCCTTCCCAAGATGGTAACTCATTTGAGATGACCAATCTTGAAATTCGTGTGCTCATTTTTAGAGTCTTAACCGGATCGAATTGTTCGTTGAGACTTAATGGACTCTGATACCATGATAAAAGAAGAGGTGAAGGAAAATATTATATATTTTACTGTGTTTCCTTGATGATTTTGTAAATGGGGATTAGATGCATATATATAGAACAAAGATACTACAATACAAGGAAAGATAAATCTTCTGCTGGAATAATGTAATCTGTTGGAGCTTGACTGGTGAAATTTCTGCTGGAATAATTTGTTGGACTGGTGCAATTCTTTGCTGGAACAATGTAATTGATTGGGGCTTGACTGGTGCAATTTTCTACTGGAATAATGTGCTGGAAATGACAGTGAATTGTGAAGCTTAACTGGTGCAACTGTGAAGCTTAACTGGTGCAACTGTGAAGCTTAACTGGTGCAATCTCTTTGCTGGAATAATGTAATCTGTTTGCTAGCTAATAAAAGGTGTAGTGAAAAGACTTCACTAGATGTTTGTTAATTTATGAAGGCATATACGAATGAGGGGGAAAAAACACAAAACAAAACAATTAAAAGAATCGGTACGAAATGATTAGGTCACAAACATGACTTAATTACGAGTAAAATGATTGAATTGTGACTTAATTTCATTACATTTGTAAATTGTAGGTAACACCAATGAACATGGTGAAATACATGAGAAAAGATGCGAAAAAAGACTAAAATGACACAAAGTGAAAGTTCAAGGACCAAGGTGCAATTACCCAAAAGTTGACCCGATGAACAAATCAAGGAATTGGCTGAACCAAATGCCAACTGATGATGCCTTGGGATGACAGAATGGAAAGAGTGAAGAAAAGAGGCCTAGAAGTGAACAATTCAAGTAAAGGGACTAAATTGAAGTTTTTGGAAGTTGAAGTCTACCATGCGGTCGCATGGTAGAACTCTCGTGCGGCCGCACAAAGGGATGCAGGGAATTCAATTGGAAATATGGAATAACCATGCCGCTGTACGAATTAAAACCATGCGGTCGCATGGCTATTTGTCCGATACGAAATTTTCTTTTTTTATTCGATTAAAATTCTTTTGTAACCTAATATTGACGGGATATAAATATCAAAAACATTCCAGAGACGACCATAACGCAATTGGAGGCCGAAAAACACTTCTTGGAGAGGATTTGAGCACAAGAACAAAGATTGGCACGAAGAACTTCAAGATTTCTTCAAGATTTCATAACTCGGTGATATCTTTTATTCAAAACATGATGTATTTTGTTATTTTAATCATGCTAGGCTAGATTCTTATTATGCTAGAAGATCGATGAACCATGTGATTTGAATTTTAATATCCTCGTTTTGCAATTCGATGTTAAGACACAATTTTTATTGTTTTGAATGATTTATATGCAATTAATGTTTCTGTAATTAAGGGCTCGTAATTGTGTGAATTTAAGTGATTTATTCTTGCGTTCGAGAGAATTGGAATAGATTTGACATAATATAAATCATCGTAGGGTCCGATAGTGGATAGAAATATATCGCTATGCCCTACGTGAATCTTTAATTGTTTATAAAACCACATGCATTTTTACATATGCTCTTGTCATAGAAATATATGCCGGTGGTATGTAGAAATATGTTTGATATAGCTCGAGAGAGAGTATTGGATAGATTTAGGAACATTGATTCGTCACAATTGAAGTGTGTTGTCATATTATGAAACTAGGGTTTAAAGTGATAATTGCATGGGAAATCGTGATCCTAGCGTATTTACTTTCTAATAATTATAACAACGTGCGTTCTCAACTTTTAGTTTTATTTTAGAGTGTTAAAATATTGTTTGAGTTTTAATTTTAATTTACTCATTAAATTTGCATAATTAGGGTTTCTTTTTGAAATTAGAGTCTTTAATTAGGTCCATATCCACTTTGGCAATCTAGTTTCGGTTAAGGCTACGTTAGATAAAATTTGAACTAATCAATCTCTGTGGGACGATATACGGACTCATTGAATCCACTTTATTACTTGTTAACGAACCGTACACTTGCGGTAGTTTTAAATCGAAAGAAATAATTTCGCGAACAAGTTTTTGGCGCCATTGTCGGGGATTGAATTTAGTTTAATTTTATTTCTCGAGGCACTAATTCGAACTTTAATTTTTATTTTGCTAGTATAATTTTGTTTTTATTTTTATTTTAGGTTATTATCCTTTATTTGTGATTTAGTTATTTAAATTATTTGAATCTCAGTGCTCGTACTGGTTTTAATTCTCAGATTTGCATGTCACGATTGCTTGGAGGAGAATTGATTCCAGCTGATTCTGAAATTGAGCGCGCCTTTCATCGACGACAAAGAGATCACCGCGAAGCACAAGTACAAATGGCCAACAAATTAAATAATCCTATTATTCAAGCTAATGAAGGAGAGGCAATGGATGAAGGAAATAAAATTCTGGGGGATTTCTTGACTCCTCAAGTTATTCAAAGCCAATCCAGCATTGTATATCCACCGTTTGGGCATCCCAATTTTCAATTGAAGACCAATGTGATACAGCTGTTTCAAAATGGACACCAATTTTATGGCAAAGCCGAGGAGAATCCACACACACATGTATCTCGATTTCTGGATATGTGTTAACATTTCAGATACCAAGGAATTGAGCAAGCAGGCTACGCACAGTGGGGACAACGCCAGCAACACAATCAATATGGAGAGACTTTCAATCCCAACTGGAAGAAGCATCCCAACTTCTCTTGGAGCAACCAGAATCAGAATGAGCTATAGGGGCAATTTCAACAACAAGAGAAGAAGCCTCAATTGGAAGATATGATAGGAAAATTTATGGAGAAAGCCGAAGCTACACTTCAAAATCAAAATGCAGACATAAAACATTTGGAAACTCAGATGGGGTAGCTAGCCATCGCATTGACTGGCAGAATGCCAGGTAACTTACCAAATAATACAGAAATCAATCCTAAAGAGCAAGCCAAGGCCATTACAACTCGAAGTGGAGTACAATTGCCTGAAATCTATGTCAAGAGACCGGATGTGATTGGAGAGACATCTTTCCCTGCTGAAGAAGAGACTGTTGTAAAGGAATCAAGTTCAAAGGAAAATTCAGGAAAGTCACAGGATAAGGCCAAAGTCATAGTCAACCCCTACAAGCCTCCGATTCCCTTTTCACAGTGCTTGAAGAAGCAAAAAGTGGAGCAACAATACAAAAAATTTCTAAAAGTCTTCAAAAAGCTCCATATCAACATCCCACTAGCCGATGCATTGTTTCAGATGCCTAGCTACGCGAAATTTCTGAAGGATATCATATCAAATAAACGCAAGCTGGAAGACCATGAGACGGTTATGCTTACGGAGGAATGTAGTGCCAGAATCCAGAATAAGCTCCCACCAAAACTAAAAGATCCAGGGAGTTTTACCGTT